TTGTTAACTATTTATTTCAGTGCCAGTGTGAATTACTTACCCATGAAAGCCTTCGTGAGTCTCGGGACCCCGTAAGACGAGGCTCCTGCTTCCATGGGGCGCCACGGTGGCTGGGAGATGTTAACTACCTCGCCCGGTACACAGGAGGTCGTGGGTCCTATCTAGACCCTGACGCCTGCTGCTGTATATTTGGAGTTTGCGTGTCTCTCCCCGCGGTCGCGTGGAATTTTCTCCAGATCCTCCGGTTTTTCCCTCCACATTTATAAACATGCGTTTACAGTATTTGTCTGCTATACATTTACACATGATAAACCACTTCATTGAGCTATCATTTTTGATAGCCAGGTCGCTTCTGGAAAAGAGCGTAATGGCTCAGTGGGCCTTACCTGTTAAAATTAAATAGTTAAATAAATATTTGGTTTGGTCAATACTATTAGCGAGGAATGTATGTGGTAGGAAACTGGAGTTCCCAGAGACAAGCCCGTGCTGATATAGTACTCAAAGCTCGGCAAAGATCGATTCAATCCACAAAGAGGCCATATCAATGCAATATATACGGACTTTCTGTACTGTATGAACTTCTTTCGCACCATACATAACCAACCGCGTCAATTGGAGCTGCGGGGGAAGGACAAAACAACTAAACATACAACGTAGTTCTCAAGAAATGAGTTCACAGTCGACATTTAAATGTGCATAGCTCCAGTGGCTTCCTTATATCGGAAGGAAGAGCGTTCCAGACGGCCGCAAAAGCGAATCTGAAGGCGTCTTTGTTCGACGGCCAGCCAGAAGCCGCTGCGAGGCCACATCGCAGCTCTTGCATGGCCACGCCTATAGCAGCTGGTATGCACTGGGGTCGTGTGAGACGCCGTCCTGCTGCAGTGAGATGTTCGGACGATGTTTAGACAAAGTTTGGCTGTTGCTCTGCGTCTACATCAGCCGTACGGAAGAAGAAGAGTAATAAGTCCCTCCACATTCGTAATGTGGCTAAACACCATTGCATTGTGCGAGAAAAATTTGAAACGAGTGAGGTTTTCAAATGCTTCACTCTCATAGGCCGTATAAACACACCGCTGGTACGGGAGTTTTTCGACCTTGGGTGGTACCGATTTCTCTTCTGCTCCGATGGGGCCCTCATTTCTCTTGCAATGATCCAGATGACTGCCCCCCCCCCTCAACCCCTCCCGTGCAATTAAACATCATTACTAATTAGAGAGCCCTGCTATGAAAGGCCGGGATTTTTACTGTAGATTATTACATTTATTGTACGGTGGTCCCAGACCTAATTAGCAATATGGACGCATTAAATAACGGGGCCAGTTCGGATGACGGAGATATTGCTTAGAGCTCAATTTCCACTGCGTTGTGCAGTGACTCCTTAAGCTGCTGCTGTTGCGGCGGCGGTGGCGGCTGGACAGGGTTTGTTTTGTTTCTGTTCGCTTTGTGAGCCATGGTACTTTAACGACAAATAAGTAATATTTAAAAATACTTTTTTTTAAACACGCTTTAATGAAATGTACCGTACGAGTAATGGAAGAACTCCACGACTACAGGAAGTGGCCCCGAAGCTTGCCGTGACGTAAGGGACCGTGGTGATTTACAGCCAACGTCAGTTGAGCGTGGACAATTAGACCCAAGGCGAAACAGAACATTAAAAGATGGTTTTAAAATATGTTATTTTTTATTTTCAATGATATAATATAGTATTGTCATCAGTAAGACATAAGTATACGAAGTTTGCAATCGATACCACATTGGGAAGTGGGTTAAAATTGAGTTGCAAGATTTGAGGATACGACAACAACAACAGAGTGAGTTAATAGAAAGCGTGTAAAAAATGTTTAAAAATATATTTTTTCTTTTTTTATGATAGAAAATTGTATTGCCATCAGTAAGACATAAGTATACCAAGTTTGCAGTCGATACTACATTCGGAAGTGGGTTAAAATTGAGTTACAAGATTTGAGGATACGAAAACAACAACAGAGTGAGTTAATAGAAAGCGTGTAAAAAGATTGTTTAAAAATTATATTTTTAATTTTTTATGATAGAAAATAGTATTGTCATCAGTAAGACATAAGTATACCAAGTTTGCAGTCGATACCACATTGGGAAGTGGGTTAAAATTGAGTTACAAAATTTGAGGATACAACAACAATAACAACAGACAGAGTGAGTTAAATAAAAGCGTGTAAAATTTAAAAAGACACCGCGTGCGACGCGCTGGCTCGGACATTGCCGGAGTGTGGCAGTCAGCGGCCGTGCGCTGGACTTGAAATTCACGGAGGTCGCTGTTTTTTTTTTAATCCCGGCGCGGTAGTTGAGCTGGCTCTCAACTTTGTCCACCGCCAAGCGTCAATGAGTAACGCCGCAGATAATCGATCGGTAAAGTCGCGTGTGATGGGGCGAAGTGTGGGTACTCTCCACTGCGTCGCTTCGTAAACGTTTGGCCAGCGTGGAAGAGTAGACCAAAATACGCTCTCTCTCTCTCTAGAGCTTAGATGGCGGTGTACAGAACGAGAAAAAAGATGCTGGAAGGTGACACTGACGGCTGCTCTGTACTTCCAGTGTTCAGGAGCCTGCTTAAGGCACGGCTCCGGCTGGAGCACGCATACCACACACATGTTGGTGATGTGCACGCCTTCTTCGAACGCTGGGGAGCCAGACAAGTCCCTCTCTGCACCAGCGTGGACGGCACCCTCGTGTTCACCTTCTGAAGCGCTCGCTCGTCACCGTGGCGTGCGCGATGACACCACAACCACAACCACGTGACTTTTCTTTTGCATTGTGCGCGGTGCTTTCAGCGCCACAGCGCGTGGATTTGTAACGTTTGTTTTCTTTTGTTTGCTGATGACTTTGTATATTTCATATTGAAATCGCCTCCAGTGCTTTTGCTGCTGGCGGCAATAAAAGTTGTTTAAAAGTCAAAAAGTCTCTAGAGCTTCCTAGAGTCCAGGCTCATCCTCCAGCAGTGGTACGAGCAAACGATTGCAGGGACGCACCTTTAACCTTACGACTGCTTATGACATGGCTCGTAAATATGATTTAAAAAAAAATCTGAACAAATGAGAAACGCACCAAAAAGCATCATGGAGCGGTGCGTGCTTGGAACTTCAATGAGACGCGACAGAAGGGGGGACGCATGCATTGCAGGGCGTACTCAGGCTAAGTGCCAAAATTCCGTTGGATTTAACGCCGCTCGAATTAATGCCACAATTCCAACGGTTGAGAAAAATAAGTGCGCCTTGGGCAGGACGCGTCTCGGGACGGGACGATGGCTGACGGTCGAGCATGAAGACGCAGCGGCAGGCAGACGGGGGGGGGGGGGTGTATAAGATGCGAGAGAGGACGTCGAACAAAGAGATGGAGCGACGAAATAAGTCCCGTGCGCGGGTGCTCGCTGTATTTTAATCATGACTGCTACATCGCAGGATCGGGACTACTTTCATTCAGCGGCGGAATGAGCATGGCTGCTGATGCTGCTGATGATGATGCCGAAGAAGATTGTTCATATTATATCGGTTTGTTTTTATCACTCTCTCTCTCTCTCATCTCCCCGCTGCGGATCGTAAACATTCAATCATCTTCTCACCGGGTTGCCAACGTGGGTGAGCGCGTAAGAGCCGCGACGCGGCGCGCCTGCAGCGTTCACACTGGCGACGCGGCCGAGCGGAGCCATCAGGATAATTACGTAATTGACGTGGGGTGGGGAGGAGAAGAGGGGTGCGTGGTGACCACGGGGAGAGCGCGGCACTCGTGAGGACACGCCAAGGGGCTCGACGTTACGGGGAGTCATCGCTCCGCGCATGGCGTTCGCACTGCCACGTGGGCGCCTAACGACGTTCTTCAATCCGGGAATGCTCGGCGTTGGTGGTGGCGTCAAGGTGATATTTGTCTCGTCGACGTGAGAAGTCGAGACACCGAGATGTCGCCTCGTTTTGAAAGAGTGAACCGGTGTTACCAATATGACAAAAAAAAGTACAAATAAGTAGCAGTACGTAAAGCAAATAAAAACAGAGCATCTTCTTGGTTCTTTCGGTAAAGTCACGTAGAAGGGAAATAATAAAATAATACAAATAAAACATAATAAAATAATTCTCACGACGTTTCGGCCACAACGCAAGCAGCCGTCCTCAGGTGAAGGCCAGGTCTGTCGAAGATGAATCCCTGCAGTCACGAAAGCTTTAAATCGAAAAAAACAGAGCAATTAAACAACTGTGTCATGTGAGCAATCGAACATGTCGCACGGACGTAGATCAACGTTAGACCATACATTTATTGGCACGGAGGTGGGCTAGGGCAGAATGTGTTTAGACTGATCATCGTACAATTACAAAGTTAAGGTACAGAAACGTGGAACAAATTGTGGGGTGACTATTGTACTGCACTAATAAGTAAACGGACATGGACGGAGGCCCTAAAATAATGCACCGAGGATGCCAAACGAAGTGGCTCCATGCGTCAGAAGGAAGTCGAAAGAACGTCACGGAAACTCCGGGACCCGCGACCCACCCGAGCCCAGAATAAAATGTTCTTACGTCGATAATTAATAAGCGAAAATATCAGTGCGAACAAGTAAAATCGCTTCCTGGTGGCCCGATGCTGGGGAGCCCGCGGCTGGAGGCCCCGGGGCAGAACACCGCACGAGGCCCCTTATTCATTATCGTAAAAAAAAAATCCCAGAACCATCATGGGCCTCTCTCTTTAGTGTGAGGCCTGGGGCAATTTCTCCCCTTTAAGCGCCCCCCCCCCGACTCCACGCCGCCCCTCCCCTGGCCAGCTTTGCGAAGAAGGGCCTCACAAGCCACTCACCAGATCATCAGAGCCATTCCTTCACCCCCCCCACTCCTCCACCCGCTCCACGTACCAACCCATCCCTGACAACTCATCCCCGAGCCGGCAACACGGACAGACTGCGGCTAAAAGTCCTTTATTTGTCCGTCAGGCTGGAAAGCGCGTTACATGCGGGCGCCTCTAACAATCAAAATGCAAAGCGCAGTGCCCGGAACTCCACGGCGTTGGATCTGGAGCTACGTGCTGTCCAAGCTGATGAAGACCACGGCGGGGCTGCTCGTCCTTTTAAATAAACTCACAGAAAGAGGGGTGGGGGAGCAAAATGATGAATGGCCTCGGCTACACTCTTCCGCGTTGGATGCTCTGATACCGTGGTGGGACGTTCCAAATTCCTGTGAAACAAAAGCTTGGAATGTACACGGGAGGTATGAAAGGGAAACGCACAGAGACTTGCAGGCCGTGCGCACGAGACGAGGCGATGGCCATTGGTCAAGATTAGTTGCAGAGTGACAGCTAAGGGATGGAATGCGTATGAGAGGACATCGACTGAGGAGGTGGAGTGATGAAATCAGCTCGTGTACAGGCGCTAAGTGAACTTACGGAGCAGAACTGAGAGATGGCGACGACTTGGGGAGGCCGTTTTCCAGCAGTGGAATGATCATGGATGATGATGATGATGATTATGAGGGCACATTTGTATGGGACAACACTGCTGACTCTCCAACAATGTGGTACTAATTTTATCGAAGCCTTGGGAATGTGTGTATGTTGAACTTCTTTTGCACTGTACGTAGCGAACCGTGCTATTCGGAGTTGCGGGGGAAGAACAACAAACGAAACACAAAAATCAGTTATCAATGAATGAGTTTTCAATCTCGATTTAAAAGTGCATAGCTCCAGTAGCTTCCTAATATCAGAAGGAAGAGCGTTCCAGACGGCCGCGGAAGAGCGTCTGAAAGTGCGCGATGCGGTGACCGCCTTTGATTGACGGCGAGCCAAAATCTGCTGCGAGGATGACCGGAGATCGCGTGATGCTTGACGCTCCTTGACGAGATCAGCAAGGCATTGTGGTTAATTTGTGGCAATCACTTTGCGTGTGTAATGAGTGTGATACCTTAGAAGAGTGCATGCGTTCGGCAACCGGAAGTCATTGCGGCTCGGCGAGCACCGGACAGACAAGGTCATATCTTGCAGAATCCGTCACAACACGTGCCATCGGGTTTTGTAGGCGCTGCAGCTTTGGTAATGTTTTTTTTCTTTTGCCAGACGTCCTGGAGAGTAGCGAGTTGCAATAATCGAGCCCTGTCGACTCTGCAGTTGCTGAACATTCCCATCCCCACCGCCGTGCGCTACCACTGGACGGAAACTCGGCAACGATCGTTGAAATTGACAGCGAGCCGCTTGACCACGGCTTCTGAGAACAACAACGAAAAAGTGTGAATTTCCACGGACACTACAGAAGTGAGAGCTGTGAAGGACACCGCAGGCAACGTGAAAGACAAACGCCGGGCTTAGCGACTCAACTCAAAAGTTCGCGAGTGCGGGCGTAACAATCAAACGTCCAAACACGCGCGTGCGCGCCACAAGAACGACCACACCTCACACCCACCCCCACCACACACAATCAACCAAAAAGAACACAGACCTTGCGATAAAAAATATATATATATAAAAGAGACACTCGAAAAAAAATGTTGTTGTAGAAAACAAGCAAGCGCCACCTCCGTCTCATTATGGCGAGCCGGGCAGCCCGGGTGTGCTCAAGGGGCGGCACAACGCTCAGACTCGCAAATGTCGAGGCGTAAAAAGAATTTAGGAAGCGCAAGTAGCGGCCTCCTCGCTCCGCCAACTACAGCAGGGTCCGCGCTCGATCCGTTGGGGGGGGGGGCGGTTTGTTTTGCTTGTTTGGGGTTATACCCAAGGAGCAGCAGCAGTAGCAGCAGCCGGTAATTGGGTTCCTATCGCCACCCTTCAGCCACCAGGGGTTGTGTTTTTTGTTTAAATATATATATGAAAAGGTGGGCCCTCGCATTGAAAATAAAACGAAATAAACTGTCGCGCGAACACACGAGGAAGAACCCTCCTCTCGTGCGTGCATCACGGAAAAGTCTCCGTTACGTTGCGAATGGGGTCGATCCCTGGGCCGATGCTGTTCCGAGACGCGTACGGTTCAGACGTGTGTACGTCTGCTGTGCGTCGCTCTGTGAACCGAGGGTGATTTTCTTTTCGCACGCACAGTCGTGGAAAAAGTTGCGTCGTCTTCATCCGTTCGCAACTTTAGTTTTGAAAGTCGGGTCACATCGACGCGGGGAGGGGCAATGCATTGCAATTGAAGCGCACGCCATGTGTAAACAGACCCCCCCCCCCCTGTCTAGCCTAACAGACTGTTGAGGCAAGTGCTGTTAGCGAGTAGCACAGATGGTGATGGGTGTGCCAACACCACGTCCGACCGCCTTTGTCTCCCCAGCAGCAATGTTTTTTTTTTAAATCGCACCAAGGTTACTCATTTGAGGCTGAGTCGACGTAAAGGAGGCCCAGGGCCATGAGCCGGGGATCGAACTCGGGTCGCCGGGTTCGTAGCGCGCGCATGCACACAAACACACACACACATGTACAACGTCAAAGACTCCCTGTGTAACCGTAGATACTGTTGGGGCCAGCGCTGTTTGCGAGCGCCTATTAATGATGGATGGCGCGGTGCACGAGGAATGTGGCCAGGACCGCATCCGGCAGTCTTTGTCTCACCCGGTGCTGATGTTTATGCACCGTTGCCAAGTACTAATTTAAGGCCGAGTTCACCTAGGTAATTGCCCAGGATCAGTTAAGATATTGATCGCCGCTATTCTTAGCCGTGGTCGGAATCAAACACAGGTCCCTAGTGGTGTGCGCAATGATCCCCACGCGCACACAGACACAACCACACTAGCCACCAGTCACCACAACATGACAGCGACATCAAACACTTGTGTCAGGCTAGGTGCACTTTGAGGCCATGCTAGAGGTCGATGCCTCGTTGACAGGAGGTCATGAGACAGACCCGGGTACAGTATTGCTGGGTTCATTGACTGAGATGACTGACAGATGCACCGACTGTGCTCTCCACTGCGCTAGCTTGCTGCGTCGTTTTAGTCACCCGGCGCTCCGCTCGTTGTTGTGAGCGTCGCTCTGCCACAATGTGGTTTCCAGAGACAGGCTGCCTCCAACTGCCAATGAGCATCCTTCACGAGCTTCCTTCGCAGAGGCTGATGTTGACACCAATGGAATCGTTCCTCGGAATTTCCACACAGCTCCAAGTGTTCCTGTAGCAAAGTCAGCTCATCTCCCTTCACACGCACAGACACTGCTGCTGCCTTTATCCAACATGGTCATCGAAACAAATACCAAATTAAAACATCAGTGCATCTTAAACAACCAACGTATTCACCGGTAACACTGTCGCCTTTAAAAGGCAACGTAGCATGAACAAGTCGGCTTTTTCTGGCAATGGATCTCCTTCGAAGCACCTAAATAACGAGACCAGAGAGATTTGCGGGATACGAATTAGAGATACGTCTCACTTTACACCAGGGGTGCCACGGTGGCTAGAAGATGTTAACTACCTCGCCTGGTATACAGGGGGGCTTGGGTTCGATCCCAACCCTGACGCCTGCTGTATATTTGGAGTTTGCATGTCTCTCTCTCATCATCATCACGGTGGCTAGGAGATGTTAACTACCTCGCCTGGTATACAGGAGGTCGTGGGTTCGATCCCAACCCTGACGCCTACTGTATATTTGGAGTTTGCGTGTCTCTCTCTCCCCGTGGTCGTGTTTTTTTTCTCCGGGTCCTCAGATTTTTCCCCTCCACATTTAAAATCAACGCATTTGACTGCAGCATGCATTCAAGAGTATTTCGCTGCTATACATGTCCACATGATACGCCGCTTTGTTGAGCGATCATTAGTGGCCAGGTCGCTTCCGAAAAAAAAAAAGATGCATAGCTCAGTGGGGCTTACCTGTTAAAATAAAATACAAATGTTTCGTAGTTTAGTGTTGGTGGAGGCGAGTTGTACACTCGAGGTGTGTAAATGTGAAACGATAGTAAGTGGAAAAAGATTAGCATGAACAACAACGGCACGACTAAACTCGACGCTTTTGCAATTATCACCCGGGCAGCCGAGAGACTGTGAAAATAATTTTATCAGTCTACATCATCACGTGTTATAAGGGGGGGGGGGGGGGTAACTTAATTGCATTCAGAGGCAATTTAGAGGTTAGGCAGAGAGGGGGGGAGGGGGTAGAATTTGCCTAATACGAAATTGTCCAGGAGGGAGGAACCCGGTATTTGGAATGCAAAGATAGCAAATTCATGCCCCCCGGACCCATTCCCACGAGCCAAGTGAGGCCTAATTCTCATTTATAGGACTCGCGTGACAACGAGCGCACACACAGACAGTGACCCCCCACCCCTTCCCCAATAGCCTTAACAAACTGTTGGGTCAAGTGCTGTTAGCGAACACCTCTGAAGGTCGGCATGGGACATGAAGGCGTGTGTGGCCAGCACCACACCCGACCGGCTTCGTCTCCCCAGTGGTGATGTTTACACACAGATGCTCATTTGAGGCTGAGTCGACCTAGGGGAAGCACCGAACCGTTCAAGATAATTGTCACTGGTGTTGGCGTGAGCGAGAATCGTTCTTTTCCCTCCACACTTAAAAACATGCGTTTAGAGTCTGTGGCTGCTGCTATGCATTTACACATGTTGTGGCCAGGTCGCTTCTGAAAAAGACCTACATAGCTCAGTGGGTCTTACCTGGTAAAATAAATAAAAGATGTTTAGTGTAAACTCGGGTCGCCAGATTCGTAGCGCAGCGAACTAACCGCTGCACCACCACTCCCCAAGCTCGCCCACACGAGCGCGCCATGGCTGAGTGCACGAGAACGGCTCCTCTCGGTATGAGTTTTGACCTCGATAAACACTCCCGCATATTGAATCCATCTCGTTAATGCGTCGGCCGAAGGTGTCTATTAACAGGTGAGTGTGCGGTGCATTGGTGTGTGTGGAGGGGGGTGCTGCGCTGCGAACCCGGCGACCCGAGTTCGGTTACCACTCACGGCCAACACCGGTGACAATTATCCGAACCCGTCTTGGGCCCTCCTCTAGGTTGAGTCAGCCTCAAATGAGTAACCTGGTTGGGTGTGTAAAATCATCGTCACTGGGGAGACAAAGGCGGCCGGGCGTGGTGCTGGCCCACCCACGCCCTCGTGTGCCGTGCGGACCTTCATAAGTGCTCGCTAACAGCACTTGCTTCAATAGTCGTTAAGGCTATACGGGGGATCTGTGTCTTTGTGGTAGTGTAGCGGTTAGCACATTGCGCTGCGAACCGGGCTCATGGCCACCAACAAACACCACTGAGGATCATTTGAACCGGTCCTGGGCCTCCCCTACGTCCACTCGGTATCAAACGAGTACCTGGTGTGGTGTGTAAACATCGCCACTCCAGAGACAACTGGAGGCCTGGGCGTGGTGATGGCCATCGACTTCTGCATGTGTCGTACCGGCCTTCATATGTGCTCGCTAACTGCACTTGTCTCAAAAGTATGTTCAAGGCTATATGGGGGATTTTTATCTTTGTTTGTATGTATGTGTGTGTAAATATGTGTGCGTGTGCATGAAAACATTTCCGGAATTATTAGGCTTTGGCTGCTTATGAAACTATGATCACAGGAATTAAGGAATTATGCGCTGTCGGTATTGCATGATTAAAATAATAATTGACAATTTTTCGTCGAATGCGAAGATCCTGATAAACCAAGGAACACAGGGATAACATTTTCAAATGAACACAATTACATTCGAATCTACGTATTACAGTCTTCCCGATCCTCTGCGTTCCTTCCCATGCCTTCTGAGATCACAACTAGGCTCTTCTTTAGATCCATTCATTCATTCTATGGAGGGACTGTGCCTTGTGCCTGTTGTGGTCTGTTTCGCTGTTCCTTTGTCGCCTTGCATGTTGAACGTTTCTACTTGATCTATGTTATGCAGTTATGCTTTAATGATTCGCTCACCTTGCTTATAATTTGCACTCTGATCGTTTTTTTTTATCGTTTGTTTGTTTGTTGTTGTAACTTTCTGACCCGACCCTACCGGACATTTGTGATAAAGAGCTTCATGGCTCATCGGATTTCTCCAGGTTAAATAAAGATTCTGATTCTGACATGCGGGCACAACAATCCTTCACGTATCCTGTTTCTGGTTTCCCACGTTTGCTATACACATGAATATAACAAAAATAGTTGTAAAAATATTAGTAGAAACAAAATACAAGTCCAGTTAACGAGTGGCGCCTATAATGGCAACTGAACACACCGTACATTCTTCACGATCAAGTCCACAAAACTTCTTGAGCGTACGACGTCCATCATTCACACGCAAGCACGCACATCATCACCATCATCACCATCACCACCACTACCCCATACGCCCCACTATCGCTCACGCGCGTTACGAGCTAAGCCGTCCACTGGGGTACGCGGCGAATCGAGGCGACCGCCCCGGGCCCCGCGCTTTGGGGGGGGGGGGGCTGCGGGGGAGCTCTCGCTGCGCCGTCACGGTGTCAGATGTAATCCTTCCGGTTTAATTGGAAGGCGTTGGGGGTAGGGGGCCCACACAGCGGGGGTTCGTCCTGGGCACGGCATCCCCACCCCGCCCCCTCTCATGGCCGGCCCTGGTTGCGTGATAATCAAAATCATTGCAGAGACGAACGTCTCCGGGAACAGCGACGGCTTTGGGCTAAGCCGCGCACCGCTGGACCTCACGCCCGACTGCGCCCCCCCCCCCTCCCGACTGCTACCCAACTCCTCCCCATTTCCCCTTGTCAAGCACCACGAATTGTAATTTGCGGACGTAATGAGCAATTTGAGAGCCTTGACGATGGCCAAATCTCGCCGCTGTTAAGCCCATGAAGGGCGAGTGGTGTCTGCCGGGGTCACAAGCAGACGCCCAGGGTGGGAGGCAAATAGGGGAGGGGGGGGGGGGGTCGTTAGCCGCGCGGAGTGTGGGCGAGATGATGTTTCACCAGTGCGGGGGTGGTGCGTGGGAGTTTAGACCACGTGGCGCAACAGGCGAGCGGGCTGGGTCGCGACCAGGAGGCTGCAAGTTCAGATCTTGGCTGGGTGGCTGCCTTGGCCTATGGAAGTCAATACAAAGCAGGCAAAGACCACGACTGAGTATGCAAGCAGCATTTCAGATATTTCTCAGACTGTGAGAAAAGTTAACATTGGTTGTACTATATAATATGTATGTAGCTATGTGCATAGACTGTAACCTACCATAGGAATGTAGAATTTCCACCACTGGCTCTGGGCTGTAAGTGGGAGATGAGCTATGCTGCAATGCTCATTTGGCCTCTACATCCCATTTATTCGATTTGTCTTGGGGTGGCTCAGATCTAGTCCAGTGGCCTGTTATGGTATTTTTTTTTCTGACCCAGCCTAACCAGGGCACACAGCCCGTGGCCACGAGCATTTCAAATTAATCATGGAAGAATCAAACCAAATCTTGCTAAGATTATGTTTCTACATTTTTCTTCTTTTTAACAGTCGAAGCAGAGATTTGAGCCGGACAAAAAGTGGCACTCATTATGCAGTACGCAAGGAACATTCTATCTGTAATTGGACATCAGAGTTTATATATATAAATATATGTGGAGATAACGAGTTTGATTCCCAGTCAAGGGGAGAGAAACCTTGAGGCAATTTTCTTCATTAAATTGGTCACACACTACAGTGGAGTCAATTTGGAACCTACGATCGGGGAGGTAGTACACGATTTTTTTTTGGGGTGGGGGAGGAATCCCGTTTGTCCAGTGCGGAAGAATACGGTGGAATGCAATCATAGTGTTCATGCCAAAGACAAACAATATATATAAATGCCACAATACTGCACTGGCAGTGGTGGACAAACAACACAAATAACAACAACAACAAGAAACTCACTTTGGCAAATAACGATTTCCTCTCCATTGAAGAACCGCTATTGCCCGTAACGTTCACGTAGCTTTGTGCTCGCACTGTTAAAGTGAAACAGGGTAACGTTGCAACCCTGCAATAATCTTACTCACGCGACCGGAGGTGGGGTGGGGTGTGTTAAGTGGGAATGTACTATACCACGCCGGCTCTAAGCTTCCTGCCAGATACAGAGGAGTCATCGCACTTTGCTCACAGCATAGAAACTTGCCGCTTGACTGACGGTGACAATCCAAGCTCGTTCACCACGTGACGCCCCGGTCGAGTAATCCCTTTGCACTCTGCGCGCGTACAGTAACTCTGAAACACGTGCAAGGAACGTTCAAGGTGAAAGTGGTTCAAGGGCAGGCTGGGGGGAGCTCTGAGATCCATCGGCCTGTCGCTATATTTTTGTTGGCGGTTCGTTCACTCGAGCGCTGAACGACGCTCAGCGAGTGGCAGGACAACAAGGAGCGACCATTTGTGCTGTTCACGTTGAGAAGGCGTCGTGCATCCATCACCCGCGGTCACGTTCGACCCGCACCCCTCGCCCGCCCTCCTCCAGCATCCACGCCCCGACAGAAACCCGCCACAGTCCCCGATCGTGCCCTCCGCCCAAGTCTGTCACTCACACGGCCATGTGTCTGTCGTGCGTGTGGATGTGTGTGTGGGGGGGAGCGGTAGTGTAGCAGTTAACGCGCTGCGCTGCGAACCTGGCGACCCGAGTTCGATTCACGCTAACGGCCAAAATCAGTGATGATTATCTGAACCGGTCCGGGACCTCCCCTAGGTCGACTCAGCCTCAAATGAGTACCTGGTACGGTGTGTAAACATCGCCACTGGGCAGACAAAGGCAGTCGGGCGTGGTGCTGGCCACCCACTCACTATTGGGCCGTTCCAGCCTTAATAGGTGCTCGCTCAAAATACTTGCTTCAACAGTCTATTATTAAGTGGAGGCGTAACACATGTACTGTAGACATATTTAATCACTACAGAGAGATTGACTGCTTACATTGGTTTGCAATCGTCTCCAAATACCCTCCGCATGGGTCGGTGTCCCTGTAACATGAGATATCTTGCAAATCAAATGTCCTTCAAATGTCTTGCAGGTATATAAAAAAATAAAATAACAACAATTCAACTTCTTGTTTCTTTCGTTAAAGTCACGTAGGCAATGCATTCAAGGCAATGCATTGGCACAAACAAGTAAAAAAAAATACCACATTCATCACTATTTTCTAAAACTACCGCCAGTTTATATATATAATTGGACTTTTCTGTCATTTAATTTCGACTCGTGGAAGAATGTTTCTACGTCAAAAAAAACTAAAACTATATTTGTCAACTTCTTGGTTCTTTCGGTAAAGTCACGTAGAAGGGAAGTAATAAAATAATAAAAATAAAACATAATAAAATCATTCTCACGACGTTTCTTTTGTCAAGGCGCCCTTTCCCCCCTTCCAACCCAGCTTAAAAATATGCTCCAAGCATGGTGCTGTTTCATTCAGACGCTGTCGCCTCGACAGACCTGGTTTTCACCTGAGGACGGCTGCTTTCGTTGTGGCCGAAACGTCGTGAGATTTATTTTATTACGTCGTGAGAATAATTTTATTATGTTTTATTTTTATTATTTTGTTACTTCCCTTCTACGTGACTTTACCGAAAGAACCAAGAAGATGAATCCCTGCAGTCACGAAAGCTTTAAATCGAAATATATTTGTCAACTTTTTAATGTCCCAGAATTCTCGGGACCCCGCAGTGGTGAGCGCGTCCTCTCGGGAGAAGTGAACCAATCGCTCTGGCCTCTATCACCTCTCTTATCTGAAATGCCGATCCCACTACAATACGCTTTCTGTTACGAGGCACTGTTAATGACGAATGTTGTGAATTATGTACTAGCCTTCGAGGGGTATGTCTTGCAAGAGAAAAAAAAAATTCGCATTCCATCGTGTGCTCACATTCTTTTGTAAATATCAAAAATAATTATAAGATTTACTTTCCTTGAACAAACGTATTGCATACCTACGTACATATCCACGTAAGTCATCGCTGAATAATGGATAACCGCACTGTGCCTTTATCTGTGCGTTTGTCTGCAGGTCACATGACTGGCACGGGTTTGGTTTACAGTTCATCTTATTCTGCATCATAATCCTCCTCTTACACGATTAGAAAACAAAATTAGAAAAAAAAAAACATGAAGCATAAATCCACTGTGTCTTCAAACGTCAACAAAACAAGCATTTTATTTCATCGGCTTTCCAGACCAATATAGATAGAGAAATTTGTGTTTAAGCAAGCAAAGAGCTGGACCAGTTTCAACATTATGGGTTTCATCGGCAGTCAGGCTTGTTAAACTAAAACCAAAACTATATTTTATTTTACCGGCTAAGGCCCACAAGAGCTGTATAGCTCTCTTTCAGAAGCGACCTGGCCACAAACAATAGCTCAACGAAGTGGCTTGTCACGTGGAAATTTGTAGCAACCAAAGACTCTAAACCCATGTTGATTCTAAATGTGAAGGTAAAAAAAACTGGAGGACCCGGAGAGAAGTCCACGCGACCACGGGGAGAGAGACACGCAAACTCCAAATATACATTAATTCTAGATTTGAAGCTTTCGTGACTGCAGGGATTCATATTCTTAGGTTTTTTCGGTAAAGTCACGTAGGTAAAACATCAAAATTAATAAAAAATAAAATAAAATAAAGATCATGACGTTTCGGAGGCCTCCGAAACGTCGTGATTTTACCGAAAAAAACTAAGAATTCAAATATACAGCAGCAGGCGTCAGGTTCAGGATCGAACCCACGCCCTCCTGTATACCAGGCGAGGTAGTTAACCCATGCTGCCGGTTTACAAAAATAATAAAAAATAAATTAAAGAAGAAATTAAATGGACGAGACCAAGAAGGTCGAAACCAGTCCAGAGTCTGCTTGCTCAAAACAAATGTCGCTGGATAATATTGGTCTGGAAAGCCAATGGGCTCATTGGCTAAAACATAATTATTTTTACGAGAAATCAGAATTTTATTTAGGCGAGAGGAATCCGATGAGCTGTGAAGCTCTTTTTCACAGATGGACAGTCGTGGCGGGACACCGAGTTGCATAAACAAACGATACAAAACAAACTATACGAGAGCAAAATAGAACAAAGGTGAGCAGATCGCTAAAAATACATCTGAATTAAGTACAGCGGTACAAATGTCCGCAAGTGCATCGATTCTTGCCATGAAGACGGAGCCTCGTGATTTGCCGTTGCCCGTGATGCTCCTCGGTGACGAATACATGAGTTCGTCGACGCGATGATGATGCTTCTCCGCTGACTGTGCCACAACATGCTCAGTGTGGCCGGGGGGAAAGAGGTGGCTGTCCATGATGCCTGTGGCCTTGCCAACCAGTCGTAGTGGCACTGGACGAAAGCAAAACTTAGCCAAAAACAACGAAGCAACCTAAGTAGCTCAAGGGGCTCTAGATTCTTCAAAAAAATGTGAGCCAAATATCAGCCCCCTCCCCCCCCCCCAAATTGAAAATTTAATCAAGATATCAAACTCATTAAAAAGTTTAGCTAGTTGGTCTCGCTGGTAACATCTCTCATGCTACTACACCTCCGTCTCATCTCTTTAAATCGTCAAAATGGGGGGCTCAGCTCCCCCCTCTGAACAAATGAATTCTGCTGAGGCTCCCCGCCCCCCAATAGGCTATCACCGCCGCTGGTGGCCACCGTGCCGCGGACCGACCAAGAGTCACCGGGGCGCCTCGCGGCCACGTGGCCTCTATTGGCAACTTATTTATTTAAAAAACTATCTATGGGAAATTCACGTCGAAGGGAAATAATAAAATAATTAAAATTAAACATAATAAAATAATATAATAAAATATTGTATTATGTTAAAATAATAAAAATAAAACATTATATAAAAAAATATATTTTTATATTTTTTATTTTTTTATTTCCCTTCTACGTGACTTTACCGAAAGCACCAAGAAGATGAATCCCTGCAGTCACGAAAGCTTTAAATCGAAAAAAAAAACTATCCATGGCTTATGTTCAGCGGATTAATAATTCAATGGAACAAATCTACTCCCCTCAAAAGCTATATCGTATGGGCCAAACAAAATCAAATGAACCGTTTTGGGGGGGGTGGTGGAGGTTGAGGAGTGGGGGGCACCGCTAACAAGAAG